TTGTGTGGTGGAGATTAGGCGCGTTGTCTGGACTTGTGTGGTGGAGATTAGGCGCGTTGTTTTGACTTGTGTGGCGGAGATTAGGCGCGTTGTCTGGACTTGTGTGGTGGAGGTTAGGCGCGTTGTTTTGACTTGTGTGGCGGAGATTAGGCGCGTTGTCTGGACTTGTGTGGTGGAGATTAGACGCGTTGTCTGGACTTGTGTGGCGGAGATTAGACGCGTTGTCTGGACTTGTGTGGCGGAGATTAGGTACGTTGTCTGGACTTGTGTGGTGGAGATTAGACGCGTTGTCTGGGCTTGTGTTGCGGAGATTAGGCGCGGTGTCTGGACTTGTGTGGGGGAGGTTAGGCGCGTTGTCTGGACTTGCGTGGCGGAGATTAGGCGCGGTGTCTGGACTTGTGTGGGGGAGGTTAGGCGCGTTGTCTGGACTTGGGTGGTGGGGATTAGTCGCGTTGTCTGGACTTGGGTGGTGGGGATTAGTCGCGTTGTCTGGACTTGGGTGGTGGGGATTAGTCGCGTTGTCTGGACTTGCGTGGCGGAGATTAGGCGCGGTGTCTGGACTTGTGTGGTGGAGATTAGTCTCGTTGTCTGGACTTGTGTTGCGGAGATTAGGCGCGTTGTCTGGACTTGTGTGGTGGAGATTTGGAGATATGTGTGAATAGTTTGAGCGAAAGTCTGCAATGGATTGTTATCAGTGGGTGTATCAATATCCGTGATTTGTGTAAAACCATCTGACAAGTTTCAAGTTTATTGGTTTCTTCAGATACATTACAATGTACAACATAAGGTATCAGAGTACAATAATACAAAGTTGTAAAGACAAAATGGATGGCAAGTAAATAAAACGGTATGAATGAATTAGCAATAGATGATACTTGTGGTATATGTTTACAACAGTTTGTTAATTTTTTTCCAACAAAAGGCTTATTCCATTGTTACAAAACGACAAAAGACCACTCATTTTGATTTGATTTTTTTCTATAGTATAAAGGAATGCATTTTTAGCTCTACAGTTATTACATTTGTACATTTGAATAAATAATGAAATTAGTCGCCTAGATATTTTTTTTACAAATAGTACATCTTCGGTCTTGTTTCATAGGGTTGACACGAGAAATGGTTAGTTGACTAGAACTTCACAGGTTCTACATGGTCTTGTTGGTTCTTGTCCCCAAACCTCCCGGATAGTGGCAGACCTGAGGACATTTGATGCGGTTTGTTTTTATCCATCTTGGCATCCTCGATATCCATAGGATTACGCTGAGAGAGTAGGTGAGCGTAACCCCTGGATATCGAGGATGCCATCTTGGTGGCAACGACGTTGCTTTTGACTGAAAAAGGTGTAACAGTGCCATGGGATGTCACCGAGGCAACCACAACAAAGCTCCTGGACGAAATAAAGGAACCCCCCTCCCACCTTTAACTCCATCCTCGATATCTAGGGGTTACGCTCACTTTCGCTCTCTACACCCCTGGAATATGTCAAAGCAAAATTGAAGGCTCAGTGTGCGCCACCTTGTCGATGAGACAAGAAGGCTTATTCGATCCTTTGATATACATCAAAAGAATCTCGCGGTCGCGTAACGGTAAAAATGACAGGCTTTTAAGTCGGGCGTTTCTCCTTTGTTATCTTCAAAGGACTGATATCAGTCTAGCGATTTATCATTTTTTTTTACCTGAGACCAATCAAGCCGCTATCGTCGTGCCTTCGATTTTGCTATAACACATTCCAGGGTTGTAAAAAGCGAAAGTGAGCGTAACCCCTGGATATCAAGGATGCTTTAACTCATGTGGGCTTTTAATTGTTCTTAGACTTCATTTATTCTTGACTGTTTGCTTGGTCTATAAAAAGTAACGTACTGCGGTACGGCTTGTCTAGATAGCCATTTCGCTTTAAAAAATGTAAATAAGTTTTGTGTTACAGTAGGTAACCCTCTGGATTCACCATTGGTGACGTTTTCTTAAAACAATCTTATAGGTCAGACGGCAGAAAGGGGAGGCAGTAAAGTGGAGACATACAGTGGAGGTTGTCTCTCCTTAACCATCTCGTATAATTCAACACAAAGCACGCACATAACCGGTCGTAGCTATACATTGTATATTGCGTCGTGGCAGAGGAGGTCGGGTATTAGTATTCAAGTTCAAGTTCTTTATTTGCTGAAGTTTTACAACTTATGGCAATTTAAGATAAGACAAAGACACTCACAAGGACACACTCACACTGACTCGCACACATCATCCTCATCATCAAGAACACTCACACTAACTCGCACACATCATCCTCATCATCTTCATCATCATCATCATCATCATCATCACATCATAATAATCATATCAGCAACAGCAGCAGCAATCATTCGTCATTCATCAAACTCACATTCATACACACGCCAGAACCTTTTTCACCCTCAATCACCCAGACAAGACTTATCAATATATTGGTATATTACATATTTTTTATTTAATAAACTGATATACAACATGTATCTTAACATGACCTGTTCTAGTGGCGACCTCTTAATAAATCTGCTCTACGTTTAAACGCTAGTAATAAATACTTTGCTAAATTATTAAGTTCTTTTGTGTTTTCGATTTTGAGTAATTGAACAAATTTATACATACTAGGCCTTTTGAAATAATATTGCTTTATGTATTTAGACCGGAGGTCTGAATAGCGATTACATTTAATTATAAAATGAAATTCATCTTCTATATCATTTTCATTACATACAATACATTTTCTTTCTTCTCTAGGTATATCTCTGTAACGGCCACGTTCAATGAACAGGTCATGCGCACATAAACGCATATTAGAAATATGTTTTAAATAATTTAAAATTAATTGCCTTATGAAGATATGGTTGCAATTTAATACTTTCCACTAAATGCTGATATAATGCTCCTTTAGAAGAAGAATGAACTTTCTCTAGATAGTGTTGCTGAAAACTGTCACATAATCGCTGCTTATATACTTCACTAGAATGATTAATACTGTCAGTCACAAACATGTATCCAAGGCCGACTCTTGAAAGATCATGTTTTTATTTAAGGATCCAGGGGTCTTTATTTTTAAACTTTTCTTAACAGCTCTAAATGAGATCTTCAAATCTCAATATAAAGAAATGCAGTGTTTGTAGATTTTCTTAATCCTAAAAACGATTTCAAAAATCCAATGTGCAATTTTTCTATTTCGGGTGCTTTATGAAATCCCCAAATTTCTGAACCGTACATCAAAATACTATTGACAAACGTGTCAAAAACAGCAAGACGAGATTCTATATTAAAATAATTCTTTTTACANGTTTGCTCTTGTTAAACCACCATTTCTAAAGATAACTATTTTTGCTTTATCTACATTTAAAGTTAAGCTCCATTTTCTACAATAATCTGATAGTGAATCTAACATTTTCTGCAAGTCTTCTGGTGTTTCCGATATTATGACCATATCGTCTGCATAAATATTCGTAAAAATAAATTAATAGTTTGAATTTCTAGTGATAAGCAATTATTTTTTATAAAATCCATTTCTAAATCATTAACAAATGATTTCCTCTTCTATGCCTTCCTTAATCATTAATTTTTACCAAAGATTTTGTCGACAAACAAAATCAAAAGCTTTTTTATAATCTTTAAAACAGCAATAAAGTCTGTTTCGTTTTTTGAGAGTTCTATTAATTAATGATTGTAGTACGAAAATAGCATCTATCGTGGAAAGTTTTTTTCTAAATCCAAATTTTACATCTGTGATAATATTATGCATTCTTACACGGTCGCAGTAGGGCAAGGAAACATAATTTTCTCTATAGTCAAGTGGGCATCGCTGGTAAGAACGACAATACTTAAACCAACAGGCAACTTGATAGCTTCTGGAAATCCCAACCATTTTCGATTCCCTTTAAAAATGATTAATCTCTCGATTCTGTTATAATTAATTTCCTTATATGTTTAGTGTGTCATTAAAATCCTCAAATCTGACAAATTAAAAACTTGTGGTTCAGTGGATTAAACATCTATAGTGTAAACGTTAAATAATACGTACACGTTATACACGTTTTTAGCGAGTCAAAGTAGGCGAAAACTGCTCTAGTGAGGAAATGGTTTGTCCAATGACAAAGGAAGGTTTTTATATATATATATACATATATATTATACGTCTCTGATTTCTCTTACCATTTGTTCGTGTGAGCAGAGACGTATATATTACACGTCTCTGGTGTGACTGAGTAACGAAAAAAATGCAAGCCGTCCATTCAACTGAATGGCTAATATTCTCAAAGTTTAAAATATTTGCTCAAGATATTAAATATATAGGAGTGTTCGGTCTCTCCGATCAACGAATTCGATAACGCAACCTAATTCCGTGCCCTGTGTACCATTTTGGTTCATTTTCTTTTCTGCGCATTGTTTGCTTTTTCTCATTTCAGAGAATACCAAAAATTGCACCCATACCTATACTTGCGTACAAGCGGTGCGTTAAATTATTACGTGGGTGTTAGCAGTCTTGCCCTCAATTAACTTTCATTGGACAAGCTCCCAGCCCTCGATAAAGACGGTTAATCGCACCTGTGAAGGGATAAGTATTTACGTATTTGTTCGCGGAATATTCAGGGTGTCTTGTTGGGATGGTTACCCTGATTTCAATAAATACAGGATCTCACATTAACACTTGATTACCATAATTCTAAAAACGACAAATAGATACTGTTTCAGACTGTAATTAAATATATTTTGGCGAATTGTAAAGATTTTACATGGAATCGTTCCCCTCTTCATGTCTCTATGTATGGCTCTGATCATTAGAGGGAGGTAACTCTAAAACAACGACGTATTCCATACGTACAAGGCAAACAGTTTCAACAGTATTTATGAATATTTTATCTATTTGAAACAGACGATTTTTTTTATAAGATGCATATATAGCAAGAACCAATAAATCATAAATTCTCACTTGTAAATATTTCCACGCAAGATTATGAAGAGTGGTCTCCCCGTTAGTAGCCGGAAGTTTTCTCGAGAAGAATTGTGGGAAAAGTGAATTAAAGAAACACGTGTTTGCGAACCATTTCACACAGCGTGACAACAATTTTAAGAAAATGGGACGACCTGGTAAGTAATCTAAAACTGCCTGAATATTTGAAAATATGCAATAGTCTCGTTTGTTTGTTTCACCAGTAGAAGAAGTATGTGTTATAATGGTATTCGGCCTGTATATGATTTTGTGTAACACTGAGCTGTAGAGTTCAAGCCATGCCCATGCAGTCTGGATGCGATCGGTATAGTGTCGAGGCTAGGCTGTCTGGAAACGCGTGTTCATGTCACCTATAACATCTTAGTCTTCGCGCAAAATAGTGCATTATACCCGCTTCTGAAGTAATTTAGATGCTGCTGTATTGTGATGATGGCAATATTTTGGTTACCGACTTATCGATGATCTATCTGCACATGGCAATTGATCAGGTTGGGCACAACGGCGCACATGGGTAATAATCCTGCATTCGGGTAACAGTTACCCATTTCAGTAATAATTCTATTACATTTTATTACTGAAATGGGTAATAAAGTGAAATAAAAACACACAAAGTTATTTTACACATTATGAACAAAAAAGGGCGTCATTCTTTCAACATCAAATAAATACAATGAGGTACAATATTGTGTAGAAAAATCTGTGAATTCAGTTCTCTAAATTTTATGTGAAAATGACAAATTGTATCACCTCCATTGCTCATAGTGTGTTGTAGAGTAGCTATAAAAAGCACACATAAAACATCATGCTCACCTTTCGCATTTGCACTGGATAGTCCAATTGACTATACACTGAAGTCGATGGAGAACAAAGTCAGCGATATGGTTTGTCCTTTTCACAAATAGTTAGACATCAGAATTGATATTTTTTTGTGCACTAATGTACTTCATTGTGTTATTTATGTGGTTAAGTTGACAGAATGACGCCCTTTTTTGCTCCAAGTGTTTAAAAGAACTTTGTTTTTATTTCACGTTATTCCCCATTTCAGTAATAAAATTGTTACTCAAATGGGTAACTGTTACCCAAATGCAGGATTATTACCCATATGCGCCGTTGTGCCCAACCTGTTGATGACTAATTATCTATTATATTTGCGTGCAGCAGTTGTTGTGTTGATTGTTGTCGATATCATCCAGATAGTGTGTTATCGTCAAATGCCTTTGAAAATAGCAAGTAATAATGTATTAAGGCAAAATGCCGGAGGGCAGATTGGATTTAGGCCAAAACAACCCGTAAAACGAACAGGAACAACCCGGGTTCCTAAGACACTGACATATGGCACAGGCAGCAGGCGCTCGTGTACAAATGTGTGTACATTGGCATTTTAATTCAAGGTGTTAAAAAAATATGAAATACGAGTGCTTGTGTGCAATCCAAAATCCATGATCAGGTCCACTCACTCCGCCGATTGAGCCATATTCTATAAAGCTGTATTAAGTTATATTTTCTCAGATTTCAATTTTCATTAAATTAAAACAAAGTCGCATGAAACAATAAGATTTATGGTAATGTTGACTACAAAGCATACAGTTAGATGTTTATTTTCATTTTTCATAAATGTTAAATTTTGATTTTTTTTACATCATTATTTTTTAAAAAGAATAATAATATTTAATGTCTTTTGTTATCTACCAAATGATAATCTTCTTTTAAAAGCGACTTTTTTTTCGTTTCTCTTAAAAAAGAAAATGACATGAAAATAGCTCAATCGGCAGAGTGTACTGGACCTGATAATGTACACACAATACAAGTGTGTGTTTATTGGTGATTTCAGATTTTATCCAATGCGTTAGAAATACCAGATACAAGCACCTTTGCATAAAATTGTGTATAAATACGGATTTTCTATTTTACAAGATTAAAGCGCTTGTGCACACGACAACAGAATTGTTGCAGACTTATTTAGTAACTTGTTTGTAGCTGATATATTTGATCATTGATTGGTCAGATTAAATGACAATCACACACCTGCTAAGACTCTTGCTATTATAATCCTTTTGAAAATACAGTGCAAATTACGACTCAATTGAAATAACATAACCAGAAAAAATAATCATAACATTCTATTTTTAGGATTTTCTCCGGCTGGCCGAAGCTTTGGAGGAGGAGGCAGAGGAGGAGGGGGAAGAGGAGGATTTGGTGACAGAGGAGGCAGAGGGGGAAGAGGAGGATTTGGTGACAGAGGAGGCCGAGGGGGGAGAGGAGGATTTGGTGACAGAGGAGGCCGAGGGGGAAGAGGAGGTTTTGGGGGAAGAGGAGGGGGTAGAGGATTTGGTGACCGTGGAGGACGAGGAGGTAGAGGGGCGAGAGGAGGTGAGGATTGTATTGATATACATAAGCATAAAAGAAACCTGGCAATTAAGATATAAATATTCTTGGTTTGGCATTGACTGAACCACCTCTTCGAAATTTTGGTCAGTAGGTAGGAAAGAAATATCTATTTCCTTTTTTACCCTACTTGATTAACTTCTTCAATATAAAACATTATTAACAAAGTATAAAAGTTAAATTTCAACTTGAATTTCAATTGTTATACTTTCTTGTAGACATTTGCTTCCCCAGATTTGTCTTCAAATTTATTAATTGTTTATTGTTTATAATGAAATAATGTTTAATGTCAGATTCATGATTTGTGTGTTAAGATGAATATTCACAAATTGAATTAAAAAATAAATAAAAATATATCGGTACCAGTATACATGATCTGACACATGCAATTTCCTTATGTGATAGAGGAATAGCGCTGACTGTTATCATTGACATGTTTCTCATAAATTTAAAGTGGAGAAAAATATGAGCCTTTTTCTGAATATGCAAGGCATGCAGTCACTTTATAGTATCTAATTGTATGGATAATAATTTTGAACAGGTAGAGGTGGAATGCGAGGTGGCAGGACTGTTGTTGTAGAGCCCCACAGACATCAAGGTAATAACTGTTATCTATAGTGTAGATCAACTGAAGCAACACTTAGTCTGTCCCTTTTTCTACAATCATGCAAAAAAGAATGGCTCAAATTTAAAGTGGCCACCTGCAGTTTTACCACTAATTGTGGGTAATACTGTTTGTTTATTACAATTTTTGTGTCTGATTAATTTGTCTGCATTTTAAATGAAAACTGGTTGTGAAAAACTTTGTATATTTTAACCAAGTATCCCTTTCCGTATCAAATAATTCAGATTCTTGATGTCCTTGCTGTTGATATATATAGCTTAGCATCAAAGTGAAATTAAATTTGACTTCAAAGTATAATGTTAAATATTGTTTTTTGGTAATGAGATTCATTATGTTATGAGTGCAAACTTATTATTGAAAACTTATTTTGGCAAGCTTTCGAAAACGTTTGCTACAGTTTTATAGAGTCAAGAGACTGGTGGTCATTTCCTCTTTTTATTTGACAGGAAATACTTGCAAAAGAAGTTTTCATTTACTGTTAGTGTTCAAAACAAACTTAATATGAGTTTTCAATTGTCTAGATATATTCATTACCTGTTTACATGTTGACAGGTGTTTTTATTGCCCGTGGAAAGGAGGATGCCTTGGTAACACTAAACATGGTCCCTGGGGAGGCCGTCTACGGAGAAAAGAGGATAAGTACAGAGGTAAGCACATGTTAAAATCTTTTAAGAAGAGAGGTGTGAGTTTTAATTAGGTCTGTCCAGCATGTCTTACACCAAAGGGCTGAGAGTTCTAAATAGGTCTGTCCAGCATGACACACACCATAGGGGTGAGAGTTTTAATTAGGTCTGTCCAGCATGACACACACCAGAGGGTTGAGAGTTTTAATTAGGTCTGTCCAGCATGACATACACCAGAGCGGGGAGAGTTAAATTGGTTAGAGTTCTATTTAGCAGCAATAGCATAGAAAGATGAAATCAATGTGATAGAAAACATTTCTATTCATGTAATCTAACCTTTTTAAAAAGTGGGGTCTGAAACATGCTTATACACCGGAACATGCAGGCACCTGTTTTCATATTTATTACCTTAGCTGATATGACGACGTTTTACCCCAAGATGGGAGATGAAGTTTCACAATTTCATAAATGACATTTTGTGACTTTGTTTATGATGATCATATTTTACTGGAAATAAGTTTGAGATAGTTTTGTCATGGTATTGTTAGGTAACATAACTCTGGTAGAAAAACCTGCTATATTTGCAAATTTCTGTTGTCATGTGATATCATAAAGGAGTTATCACAGCACTCTTGCCAACTTTTTGAAATTTCCATGTGCTAGATTATGCTTTCTGAGAATCAAAAGCATAGATAGAATGTGTATATACCTCCAGGTAAAAGAAATCATTTAAATGGCATCTTTTGAGATGTTCTTTTCAATGAAATCATCAAATCTTAGAAACTAGGAAAAGTTAAGCAAATTTACTTGATGAAAAAGTTCGATTTTAGGGTCCGAAAATCGGGAGCCTCCCTCCAAAATAGGGAGGGTTGGCAAGTTTGTCACAGTTGTGGGTTTATTTCATGGAGTAATAGCGAGACCTTCACCTCTGATATACATATTATACTGTTCGTAGATTGGCGAGACCAAAACTGAGTACAGGACCTGGAACCCCTTTAGGTCCAAGTTGGCTGCTGCCATATTGGGCGGAGTGGACCAGATACACATGAAGCCCGGCAGCAAGGTGCTTTACCTCGGGGCCGCGTCTGGGACAACAGTCAGCCATGTGTCCGACATCGTAGGACCGGTGAGTCTCTGTCATCTGAAAATCTTTGTCTTCAAATATTGTATTGATTAATGTATGTCTTCAAATATTGTATTGATTAATGTATGTCTTCAAATATTGTATTGATTAATGTATATGTTCAAATATTGTATTGATTAATGTATGTGTTCAAATATTGTATTGATTAATGTATATGTTCAAATATTGTATTGATTAATGTATGTGTTCAAATATTGTATTGATTAATGTATATGTTCAAATATTGTATTGTTTAATCTATATGTTCAAATATTGTATTGATTAATGTATATATTAATTGTATTGATTTTATAAATTGTATATATATCTATGTACTGGAAAGCGCCTAAAGTCATTCTCAATTAAGTTTTGAAAGAGTGAGGAGATATTTGTTCTACAGTATTTCTGAGAAATGAAAATACTTGAAATAGAATAGTTTAGGGTAGCTAAACAAATGATATATTTTTGGTTATTCCATAAAACCTATACCAGTTGATTACAGACATCAACTTAAAAAAACCCCTGTCATTTAAGGGAAAATACAGAAAAATGGGGCGGGAGGTGAGTTGAGAAATGAAACAGTTGTTAAACAGTGGTTAATGGAGGCTAGATTAGCCTCTAATTTTCATCAATAACAACTTCCTGATTTCCTTGTGGTTGGTGTTTTTCAGGAGGGCTTAGTGTATGCTGTGGAATTCTCACACAGAAGTGGACGGGATCTCATCAATGTAGCCAAGAAAAGGACAAACATTATCCCTATCATCGAGGATGCTAGACATCCACACAAGTACAGAATGCTTATGGGTAAGCTAGCTGTAAATAGGCTTATTATTAGGGTTGCCGCAATACGTTCAAGAGTGTATCACAATACATATTGCAATACACAGTATTGTGATGGGTATCTCGATATATTGTCATAGGAAAAAGGTGCTGAATTTAAAAGGAAATTGTTCTCAGAATGTTTATAAATCCTTATCATATATAATGTGGATCACACAGATTTAAGAATCTTTTCAAACCAACCATCAATTACAAGATTTAACCGATTCCCTCCACTAGTAATAGCCGCGTTTATGGTGATTGGCATATCTGTTAGGATATTCAGTCATCTCCAAAAGTTAAAACACCACTGCAAGCAGAAACATACAAATCAACTTTTGAAAATTTGTACAATACAGCAATATTTAATCTGTGTTGTGAAAAAATACAATATGCTTGTGTATTGCAATATACCAATTTTCAGATATATTGTGACAGCCCTAATTATTATAACTTCAATGTTTCATTGAAATTTACAGGAATGGTAGATGTAATATTTGCTGATGTTGCCCAGCCAGACCAAGCCAGAATTGTGGCCATCAATGCACACAACTTCCTCAAGGACAAAGGTCACATTGTCATCTCCATCAAGGTAAGTGTGATAACACCTATACAAAGGTCACATTGTCATCTCCATCTAGGTAAGTGTGGTAACACCTAGACAAAGGTCACATTGTCATCTACATCAAGGTAAGTGTGATAACACCTAGACAAAGGTTACATTGTCATCTCCATCAAGGTAAGTGTGGTAACACATAGACAAAGGTCACATTGTCATCTCCATCAAAGTAAGTGTGATAACACCTTGACAAAGGTCACATTGTCATCTCCATCAAGGTAAGTGTGTTAACACCTAGACAAAGGTCACATTGTCATCTCCATCCAGGTAAGTGTGATAACACCTAGACAAAGGTCACATTGTCCTCTCCATCAAGGTAAGTGTGATAACACCTAGATAAAGGTCACATTGTCATCTCCATCAAGGTAAGTGTGGTAACACATAGACAAAGGTCACATTGTCATCTCCATCAATGTAAGTGTGATAACACCTAGACAAAGGTCACATTGTCCTCTCCATCAAGGTAAGTGTGATAACACCTAGATAAAGGTCACATTGTCATCTCCATCAAGGTAAGTGTGGTAACACATAGACAAAGGTCACATTGTCATCTCCATCAATGTAAGTGTGATAACACCTAGACAAAGGTCACATTGTCCTCTCCATCAAGGTAAGTGTGATAACACCTAGATAAAGGTCACATTGTCATCTCCATCAAGGTAAGTGTGATAACCCCTAGACAAAGGTCACATTGTCATCTCCATCAAAGTAAGTGTGATAACACCTTGACAAAGGTCACATTGTCATCTCCATCAAGGCAAGTGTGATAACACCTAGACAAAGGTCACATTGTCCTCTCCATCAAGGTAAGTGTGATAACACCTAGATAAAGGTCACATTGTCATCTCCATCAAGGTAAGCGTGGTAACACCTACTCGTTACTATGTAAACAGAATAACTGGGGATCTCACATTACTGTTATTGTCATATACATGTACTTATTGTGCAAACACAGAACTATATTATTCTTGTCTCTAATTCTACCCCAGCCAGACCAAGCCAGAATTGTGGCCATCAATGCACACAACTTCCTCAAGGACAAAGGTCACATTGTCATCTCCATCAAGGAAAGAGTGATAACACCTAGACAAAGGTCACATTGTCAGCTCCATCAAGGTAAGTGTGATAACACCTAGACAAACGTCACATTGTCATCTCCATCAAGGTAAGTGTGTTAACACCTAGACAAAGGTCACATTGTCATCTACATCAAGGTAAGTGTGATAACACCTAGACAAACGTCACATTGTCATCTCCATCAAGGTAAGTGTGGTAACACCTAGACAAAGGGCACATTGTCATCTCCATCAAGGTAAGTGTGGTAACACATAGACAAAGGTCACATTGTCATCTCCATCAAGGTAAGTGTGGTAACACCTACTCGTTACTATGTAAACACAATAACTGGAGATCTCACATTACTGTTATTGTCATATACATGTACTTATTGTGCAAACACAGAACTATATTATTCTTGTCTCTAATTCTACATGGACTGTTATTGATTGTTTTAATATCCCCACTTACTGGGGGGGGGGTATATAGTAATGTCCGTCCGTCCATAGTAAAACTTGCATACAAGATATTTAATGAACCCCTTAACACATTCAATTCACATTTACACCATGGTATAATATAGTATCAAGTTCTACACTCGATTATATTTTGATGGTCATCGGTCAAGGTTGAAAGGTCAATGGTCAGTCAACAATCACTCTAAACCACTTTTGAAGTTAAATGTGTGTGTACAAGATATCTCACAGACCCAGTACAGAGTATTGACTGTTCATATTCCAGGCAAACTGTATAGACTCCACAGCAGAGCCAGAGGCAGTGTTTGCTGACGAGGTGAATAAACTGAAGGCGGAGAAGATTAAACCTACAGAACAGCTGACACTGGAGCCGTACGAGAGGGACCACGCTGTCGTAGTGGGCATGTACAGGTACGTCACAAAGACGCGACAGGCTAGTGTGGGTAACAGGGATAATGCTGGAGGGAGCCAAACGTGACAGGCTAATGTGGGTAACAGGGATAATGCTGGAGGGAGACAAACGTGACAGGCTAATGTGGGTAACAGGGATAATCGTGGAGGGAGCCAAACGTGACAGGCTAATGTTGGTAACAGGGATAATCCTGGAGGGAGCCAGACGTGACAGGCTAATGTGGGTAACAGGGATAATCGTGGAGGGAGCCAAACGTGACAGGCTAATGTGGGTAACAGGGATAATCCTGGAGGGAGCCAAACGTGACGGGCTAGTGTGTGTAACAGGGATAATCCTGGAGGGAGCCAAACATGAAGGGCTAATGTGGGTAACAGGGATAATCCTGGAGGGAGCCAAACGTGGCGGGCTAGTGTGTGTAACAGGGATAATCCTGGAGGAAGCCAAACATGAAGGGCTAATGTGGGTAACAGGGATAATCCTGGAGGGACCCAAACGCGACAGGCTAATGTGGGTAACAGGGATAATCCTAGAGGGAGCCATTGGGCCATTGACCCCTTAGAACTGAAATTGACCCCTCCATGTTCCAATTTGATTACAATTTTACACGAACAGCCCCACTTAATTTTGATATTGACCAAAAATTTTGATATTGACCAGTATTGATATGGATGAGTCCACTGCTCTCAAATTCCATGATTTCCCTGGAGTTATATAAAATCTGGTTTGTCTGAGTGTACAAATTGATGAGTATTTTCATGTATCGAGAAGGTCTTGAATGTAGCTTATTTACCCTCAAATCAAAATGTATGGTTATTGTTTGTAGATTTCTGAAATATTTGAATCATTTCCTATAGATGAATTCCATATAATAAACATTTCCATGCATTTTACAGAATCAGTTGTTTGAAATTTGGGTGTTTGGAAGCGAACAAAAAAACTAAAAATCAGTAAAATTAGCAGAAACTCAGTGGTTCAGAACAGGCCTTATCTAATACAGATCCTACTCTTTAACAATGTTAGTTGTAAATGCAGAGTATCAAAATGGTCAATATATATGAACGTTATACAAAGGGAATTAACTCTATGCTAGAAAAAATATTGTTTTGTCACAAATAGGAAAATACTCCAAAGTAAGGAAAATCAGCTCACATGTAGAACTCGTCTTCATTAGATTATGATGCGTAGGGCTATCCTACACCTTAATGTTTTGATGAGGTTTCCTAATTTTTGAGAAGTTGCCTTGTTTTTTCACACTTAAAGCATTGGATATCCTATATATATATCCTATACATATATCCTAATACCCATACATTAGGAACAATGTGCAGGTCGCAAGCTTTGTGTGAACATTAATCACACTAAAAAGTCATCAACAGAATGTTTAATGACTTCTTAAAATAGATACTGCTGCTACTGTAACACCATGTTCCGGGGAGCTTTTCAGTGGTGGTAACTACATTTCTGTGTAAATTGGCATTTCGGACATTTTTTAAAGTTGAGGAAGAAGTGTCTGATATCATGTTGATAAGTAAAGTTTGTTCAACTGATATAAGCAATTTAAAAAAGAAATGGGAAAGTTCTACACTTTAATATCAGACTTATTATAACCACAACCACATATTTATATGTTTTAACCCTTTCACCCCTAAGTAACTTTAGTAGACTCTCCCATGTATTGATATGGATGAGTCTATTATGGTATACAGTGGTGAAAGAGTTAGTATTAAAACAAATTGCCATTTGAGAGCATTTTGAAAGTAATCAATTCAAGCTACATCACTTGCTTGAGATCTCTAACTAAATCTAATGAGATAAATATAATAACCAACCGCCACTTTTTGGGGAACCGATACGTCTATAAGTAATTAGAGTTGGATGAAAATAATAACAAACAATCACTCGTTGGGAAACATGCGCTTGCATATTTATTAAGTCAATACAAGGAGAAATGAGAGCCAAGTCCGCTAGTGGATATTCAGTGAAGTTCTGTGTACCCCATTGACTGGATTCCTAAATAGAAGTCACTTGTCTTGCTATAAGAGTACTCAAAATTCAAAAGAGGAGTCTTGGCAAAGTAAATACAGGTTACATGTTTCGGCCCACTAGGTTGGCTGAATACCAGGACCTGATGATGGTCAACGTAGTGGGCCGAAGCATGTTAACTGGATTTAATTTGCAGATACTCCCCGTTTGATGTTGTTGGATCATATTTCTTCTTTTGAATTTTAAGTGAATGCAGGTGAACCATATTGTATTATGTCCTGTTTACATTTCAGACCTCCTCCAAAGAAGTGAAGGGATGACTGGTGTGAAAGGACTGTGTAAATACTGGACAGAATACTGGTGTAAGAATGTAGTGTTTTTGGTGACAAGGACATTAGTGTGTGAGAGGGAAATCTGAGGGTGATTGTGATGAGAATCAAGGAATATTGCTGGAACGTTCCTGTCTTACCTGTGAAAGGCTGAAGAAAGCACCAGAGCTACTGTGTTCATGTCTTTTAGAGTACGAATCTGAGCTCCATCGGTAATGCTGTGGAATACAAGACTTATTCAACGGTGGAATACAAGACTTATTCAACGGAGCTTTCCCAAATAGACGGTTTCCACATCTTGGCTGTCCTAGCCTTTGAGTACAACTGAGCTCCTTCAAGCCATTGACGTGCAAAGTGTCGCTCATGTTACTGTTGTTTACTTCTACGACGTATCCTGTAACAGAGCTGTACACCGTTAATGTTGCTAATTTTCAGAGTTGAAAAATTTACCAATGATGTGTCGCTCATGTTAACAAAGATCGTTATTTTCCATAGTTGAAAAATTTACCTGTATTGTACTGGGTAATGATGATTACATCAATATTTGAAAGTCAAATATACCCTGAAGCTCTTATTATCGCTGTTACTATGTAATCACATATTTTTTTTAACCCAGTAACATAATTAAGGGGGCATTAACTTTTTTTTCTTCGATCAGTTGGTCTGTAGTCTGTTCGTCAGGCCATCTGTGTGACATCTTGTTAAAACATTGCATTTAAGTTCATTTTTATAAATAAAAAAAGGTGTGGGGGGGGGGGGGTACTTATATTTAACGGTTACTGGTTATTCATCGTGAATTCAATTTTGGTATATTGAATGGAAGAGGATTGGTATGTAATTTGCCAGTGAAAAGGTCACACTGCATTTGGACAGATTTGTGGTTGTTGATACAACAAAAAGTAGCTGAGGTCAACAAGATATCTAATAAGGATATTTGATCATGTAAAGCATATAATGTTATGTAATGTATACATATATGTGCATTTCCTCTGCTTCACCATTTAAGAAGCTTCAATCCATATATAATACTGATAATGTGTTGTACATTTAGGCCATACATATGGCTATGGTCATGTTCATTGGTTGATAAATGCAGTTAATCTGAAGACAAATTGCGTGAACTTGTGTAGAATATTTCAGATATTGTTGATCTAACTGTACAATGTTCTTTAAATAACTGAATTATGATCAAAATTAAGTCCAAAATACTGCATTGATGCATTTTCATCTCAAGATTTTGGACTGGTACCTAGAAGTTGTTACCCATTACATTTTGTGCTGTTGTATGCCAAACAATGACAACTGTTGATCTACACTAAAGTTTTAATTTTGATTGAATACACGTTCTACAATAATAAATGAATATTGATTGTATACAGGTATTTGTTTTCATAGGATCACCTATACAATGTTTTAAATATTTGTCTATTAAGTTTTTGAAACAATTTCATTATGTACAGTATAACTCATTTTAAATGTCTAGAAAAGATCATGTAGGACAATAAATTTTATCACACAACATTATAGTGTCTGTTGAACTTTTACTGTCTATCATGTTTTAATAGTGTTTTTGTCTCGCTGCCACGAAGTAGCGAAAGCGAAACTAAGGTGTTGCTTTTTCGGCGCCTGCGTGAGTGTCAACATTATTTTTTTGCGTTTCAGTTAGTTTCACTGAAAGTATAAGTGCTACCCAACCAAACTTGGACAAGAGCATATGTATCTTGGGTAGTACATCTCAACCCATGCATCAAATGCTGGATGAAACCTTCCTTTTGTGGTCCAATGACTTTGTCAGCATCTCCATCAACAGCAAGTTTTTAGGTTACCTGAGACAATGTCTCAAGTGACCTATTGCGATCGCCTTTTGTCCGTCGTCCGTTGTGCGTCTGTAAACAATTTACATTTTCGACTTCTTCTCCAAAACCCCTGAACCAATTTCAAAATTTTGCAGGGACCTTCCATGGACAAAGGTCAACAAAAATAGCGGCCGGTTTAGTCCCAAGCTCCCAGGGGCCTGAGGGGCGGGGCCAAAAAGGGTCAAATTGACTAAAATTTCAAAAATCTTCTTCTCCAAAACCCCTGCACCAATTTCAATGAAATTTTGCAGGGACCTTCCATGGACAAAGGTCAACAAAAATAGTGGCCGGTTTAGTCC